AAGTGGATCAACCAGCAAATAGGCGAGGACACACTCCTTCAATCCACGGTTCACTCTGTTCCGGATTTGGCTTTTCCATTTGAAGATGACCGATACTCTAACTACCCCTCTACTGGCAATCTTGCTGCTCTACCCAGCGCAGCTGAGATTGGATCTGGACAAAGTAGTCGCTATGTGTCAGAGCATATCCGACTTGTTCAGATGATGGAATGTAGGGATTTCTGTAGAGTCGTAAAGAATTTAAAATATGGAATTTGTATCTCACATGCTCTGTGCCCGAATCACCCTCGAACACGATCTGACATCATCATGTTCTTTTTGATTTCCTAGAGTTCGTTTCAGTGACCGTCCTGCATATTCACCAGTTTTGTAGACTGGGTGGAGTGTGCTAGCAAATCCACCAGGAGCAGTAGCCTAGCTCAAGCGATTCGGGAGTTCTGACAGCAAAAGCCCAACTTCCTCTAAGTTCGAGACTTCTGAAATGTTGGTGGAACAAGAAAGGAACCTTGCGCTGAGAACCGCTGCCCAGTAATACTAGAGTCAGTTAAGAAGGCAAACGTGGACAGCACAGGAACAACGTGTTCAATTTGAAAGCAAAGCAAGACAAAGTTCGGCTTTTTTCTGAGGTCGTTCGACCCACCTTGGGTAGATTATTTATAAAAAGTTGGCGACTCTCAGGCTAACAGTTCTTTCAGCTTCGTTGTGTAGCACTATCCTCGTACCAGCTAAGGACAACCTTGTCTGAGCTCTAGCACTCCTCTTCAAAAAGAAATTTTACGCTAAGTGATACGACCTCAAACCCGACTTCCAGTCCTTCTTCGTTCAAGATCTCCTGCAGTTTCAGAGGAAAGACAGCGAATAAATTCCTATGAATAGGCAATACATTATAGATGACAGAGGTGTATGTTTGGATGAGCAAGGACTTTGAATCGAAAAAAAAATTTTCAAAGTTGGCGGGTCTGGCGATCTCCGCCCACCGACCAGCTGATCACTCGCCGTAGATCTATACGTGGGAGCAGAGAGAGCGTAGATGTTGAAGAGGGCACAGCGATGAGAGTCGCATCAATGCTCAAATCAACGGGCAAGGAAGGGGTCCCATTTCTCGGGTTCTGGGCCGTTTCTCATGGTTCTTCCTTCTTTCGTGTACCACTCACCATCCCTGGTTAATTTGAAATGGGTTGCCTTTTCATCGTGAATTCGTCCTTTAAGAATCGTGGTGGCATTTCGAATGCAGTCAGTCTACACCATGATTCGTGCTGCCAACCGATGTGTTTTCATCCGCCTGGGCAGGTCTGGTACCAAGTAACCATACCCAGAGGGAAGGTTGGCCTGGGAAACCGGGCGACTGCGCGACCGAGGATTTGATCTCGGATCGAGCGCTTAGTGATAGCGCCACTTGCCACTACACCACTTTCGCCCGTTCTTGCCAGGAGGAGCATTCTAGGGCAGAGTACCTAAAGGCTTTCAAAACATGGCGAATAGCTTTTTTATTATGAAGGGTTTAGAGACATAGCCATTTTCACCTAGCCTCATTCTGGCTTAAGAAAATTGTTTCACAGAATCCAGGGATTAAACTTACGCTAAATAAGTTGTGAGTATTGTGATTACTGTACGTATTAAATTCCCACACCCATTTCGTGCGGCGGGGGCTCCAACTAGCCTGTTTTGAGTCCTAATTTTTCGGTTCGGTGATTTCAGTGTCTGCCGTGAAGTACACCTATTGGGAAGCGGTTTTTGGTGTTGAACGGCTTGTATTTCATCTGAATTTGATTGTGTTGCTCTACATCACTTTTGAATACGTATGCCATCTTTGGTTATTGATTGATATCGATTGGTTCGTGGAAAGACGTAATTCCTTATCAGGTGATTTCAAAACACGTACAGTGCTAGATGTAGTTAGCACGGGTCTGTGGTGCAAAGCTCTTTTTCTCTACCTGGTTTTATGCTTTGGATTTTTAACGAATCATTATTAATTTTTGCGGGTATCATTGTATACGCGCTGTAGGTATTATTCTTCTTCGGATATGCCACGAACCCCGGGATCAGGTGGGTTCCATACGCATATTTTTCACACATCGCTCAGACGTCTGCAGCAGTCCCCGCCCTGGGATGGGGATTCGTCCTGGAGTTGAGATTGGATCGCCAACTTTTCGAAATTCACACCTAGCAGGGAGGAATCTATTTCCGCTTGAGCACGAATCTCTGAAGTCGAGATTGTCATCCCGCCGCAGGTAAATCCTAATTGGGCTGCGGGACGCCCTAGTTGGTGGGTTCTGACTGCCATACAGGCCTCAGGTTTGGCAGCGCACGAGAAAGGCCAGCATAGGTCTTTCGCTTTTCAGGACCCTTACCAGTACCATCAGTACAGACACAATTTTCGCTTTGTCGTTTATCACCGCACTGATCAGCTGCGTCTTTCATGATTACGGTATCAACGCTCCCATGTGAGTTTTGGCTTCGTTACGATATGTAGTTTTTGATGCATTGGTAAATGGTATTACCACTGCTTACCAGTTCTTATTAGTCTAGCCAGTTATCAGAATTTCGGTCGCCATTAGTTCTTTTATTAGAAGGCAGTGTTGATGAGTCGATTGATTATTGATTTTCGCTAATATGATGACCAATTCACTCTATCTTAGCCCATTCCAAGTGTCGTATCAGCTATCTGGGAGCAGTGGTCATAGCTCAGCGGTTTTTCTACTCTCGAGATTGGAATCCAATGATCTGGCCTTTGTTATGTTATCTATGGCTTTTGCCTTGCATGCGTTTTCACCGTTTATCAGGTAAATTCCGCAATTATTTTCTAACATTTGCGGATTGTAGGAGAATCCCATCCGTAGAGTTGTGTGTGTGTGGCGCGAGCTGTCGCGAAGCGACTTGTGACACTAATGCAAGGGCCCCTTCGCGACTGCTTGCGTTCGCCTAAGATCGCCGCTCGACGGTTATAGAAAGGACTCGACGGACGAAATCATGGAAGGTTTTAACTTTGGCATACAGTGATCTGGCCAATTGAATTCTTACCGTCGGACCCGTTATTATCTGCTGCGAAAGTGTAATGACAATCTGCCTGGCATATTTTCGTGATGTCATGCTGCACGGCGAGCCTTTGTTATGTTATCTATGGCCTTTGCCTTGCATGCGTTTTCACCGTTTATCAGGTAAATTCTGGAATTATTTTCTATGCATTTGCAGAGAGTAGGGAATCTCCATTGAAAGTCGTGTGTCTGTGGCGCGAGCGGTCGCGGAGCGGCTTTTGACAATAATTCACTGGGCGTTCCGCTCACGCCACTGTTATCAGGCTAAGGAGTAGTATGGATCCGGCATGAAATTCATGAAAGGATCTTTCCAACTTGCGGGGCCTTCCGTCGACCGCTTATCAACCGCGCGCGGAAGTGATCGGAAAGTTGCCTGGTTGTTTTGCGTGTTTGTGGCGCGAGCGGTCGCTGACGAGTGACACCGATTTGAAGGCCCCTTTGCGACTGCTCGAGCCACTGATTATCAAGCTTAGGAGGGGACCCGGCACGAAAACCACGAAAAGATATTCCAACTTGGGTTTGCATATGATTTTGCCAATGAATCTCATCGTCGACCGCCTATCAACCGCGCGCGAAAATTATCGGCAAGTTGCCTGGCTGTTTTTCTGCCAGTGGTCACTATAAGAGGAGTTTTCTCTCGCAAAACAATCAAGCTCTGGATTGACGCCATTTTTTGTAGGAATCTACTCTTCGCTCACTATGCGGTGATTTCTACGTTGCTTACGGTCTCATTATCAATTTTATCGACATATTTGCTTTGGACTTTGTATGTGGAATTATCAGTGATGTGGATGTTATTTCAATTGTTTCTACTATTTGTTTGTCCGTTTATTTTGATTGTTAAACAGAAAAGTAAGCAAACGATTCATGGCCCATGGGATGAGGCGATTCCACGCAAGGACATATCATAGTGCATTCGGAGGCCTAGGCTCCCCCTCAGTGTCGAGCAGTTTTGGCAATCACGACGACCCTCTCCATCAGCTGGGCCCATATCGTATCCGTCCCCTAGGCTAAGGGAACAAGAAATTTCTTCGAATTTTCCTTGTCTTTCCAACAAAAATCGCTCTGAGGAACTCCATATTGCAGAAAATTAAGGGAATAGTGCCGTTGAAAACAAATAAATTTAAGGACTTCTTTGTTCCCTAGCCTGAGGGAAGGATAGGATACGGCCCATGAGGTTCTACACACGCGTCTCTCCATTCTCATTTTCTCTAAAAAAGGTCTGTCGTAACAGTGGGGTGGGGTGCGTACTGGAACGGTCTACGGGCAACTTGTCCTCTGTGCTTTAAATCGCATCATTTCATGCTCTAGCCTCCGCTTTTGCCTAAACAACGCCTCTAATTATCGTGATCTCACACATTCAAACTTTTGCCACAATTGCAATTGGCTCATCCACTATGACGTCCCTACTCCCTCCAACGGTTTAGTCTTACTTAGAGCTCTCATCTTCCCTCCTCCTTGGGATTTGGAGCCGAGCCAGGCGCTCTAGTGATCTGTGCTCCAGCCATTTGTAGCAGAGAACATGGAAAGTTCAGGTAATCACGTACCTACTGCAACAAAACATACTTAGAATTTTCCGCGACTACCTTGGAAGTTAGATAAACCTCTCAACTTTCCGTCAAGGTATCTGAAAATTTTCGAAATCTTTCCCAAAATCAATGAACTTTAGATGAGTTTTTTTTCATAAGTCCATTGCTAGTTCAGTCTCCCCCCATCCGGAAAAAAACTGGGCACTTTCCACATTGAGGAATCATCCATGTTCTCTCCTTGGCCTGACCACCAAACCAGTGATATGAGTTAGCTTTGAATGATTCAGCATTCTTCATGCTCTTAAAGGCAAGATTCGGGATAAAATAGGTGTGGAAAAGCGTTCAGTTATGAAGCTAGAGGTGGGAGGTGGTCTGGAAAAGAGAAGGAAAGCAAACGAAACCACCGATTACGCCCCGCACAGAGACCTCCCCTATTTCAGCCGCATTCCACCTTGGGATAGAGAAGGGGCGCGTTGGACGAGTTTCACGAACCTAACTCTAGTTGCTCCAGTGCCAATAACATTGGGTCGCAATGGGACCGCTGCCTCAAATGCGCCCGCGCTTTTCAAGCAGCGCCACGTGGCAACCGACAGCGGAGGGTGGGGCTTGCGGACGAAGGTGTGAGTTGCGGGTCGGACGAGCTCCTTGCGCCTTTGTCGCGCACTTTCAAGCGGCAAAAGGGGCGCGACATCAACGCTTGTCCGCCTGCCTACTACCCCCGGGATGGAACAGGCGAGCGCGCCTAATCCCGGAGCGTGCCTTTAAGTACACTCACAGTGGGCTCAGGTGAGTCCACCACTCACAGTGGAGTTCAGTGAGTCCTTTTCATAGCCGTTGAACAGCTATCCTCATAGTAGATGTATTAGTTCTTAAAGCTTGAAAGATGTATGGTCAAGGCGGGCTAAATTATATATCCTTTTTCCTTCATTCGACTTATGGGCAGTGATCTGCAACCCGCTCACCCCCCCGTGACAATACTTGTAGTCAGCCTCTGTGTTCTTCGCGAAGGACCAGAGACGAGACGATGGAAACGGGCGCCTTGCTCGGTCCGCAATCTAAGCAGATAAGCGTGGGAGCCTAGCCTAGCTTTGAGAGAGGAGAAGAACTCTGGAAGGGCGTTGTCATATATTGGTGTAGCAAATTCGAATGCAGCAGATGACAATACACTATGAGCGCTGTCAGGCGAGACGAGCGCAGGCGAAGCATAAAACACAATTCGAGACGTTTATTGTTCTTGATTAAGACCGAGTCCAAGTTGTCCGTAGACCCCCCCCCCCGCGTCCATTGTACTCTCTTGCCTGTCCTCTCTCCTCCGCGCTCACTGTTTCATTGCCCTAGAATAGCCAACTTGCAAAAATGTGTATTCCCTCTCCTAACGTAAGTTCGGTATTGTTTCCTTTTTTCTTAAGTGATGGTCCACTTCGCATCCATGCTTCCATTTTTGTATGCATGATCACGACAAGTTCAGCGTTGCGTTTGCTTTGAACAATATGTGATTGGAAGTAGGCAACATAAAGTCATCAAGTAAAATTCCACGGTTTGTGCTACTTTTGCCTGTAGTATAAAAGCTCCTTGAGGTGTCGTAAGGGAACGTATTCTCGCACATGTATGGGTGATGTTTATCATTTTATTGCTTTATTCGACTGTTGCAAGCTGCTTCATTTCACAGGGTCAATTTCACTTCTGCCTAATATGGAAAAAATAATAAATTTTCCTTGATTAATAAATCTTGATATCGACGTTCACAGCTTGAAATAGACGAACAATTTTATCCTAAAGGATTTGTAACATCCGCGCTATTTTTCACCTGAACAGTAATTAATGAAGAACGACTAGCATCTAAATCAATGATACCAGGGCTTGGGTCAAGAATACAATCACGAATGTGGGGAGCAAAGCTGCTACGTGAACTTTCAAAGCAGTGGTAAGTGGTCGAAGATGGCAAGAAATGCGACAAATGATCAAGTTGCGGCGTCAATCTGGCGCCGGACGGCCTATCAAAAATGAATGTCCGTGATCAGGGACTTACAAAATTCTCTACTTACTGCTGCGCGAGCCAACCCTGTGCTCATAGATTTTCACAGAAAATGAGTAACTACAATTACGAGGCCTGTTTAGCGAAATGCAGCTCATGTTTGTTGTCTAGTGTCAAAAATATAGTTAATCACACTTTGAGGCCTTCAGAGACCTTCGTGAGACAAGGAAAATAGAGCTTTCGCTAGTGGGCCACACCATATTTGACTTTTGAGCACTATTTCGCCTCTTTCAATTGCAGTGAAGGCTCTTACAGATTCTGCAGACAGAAATATGGAAGCGTAGTGTTCGATTGATGTTTGAAGTGTGTTCCGATGGCAATGCAAGGGCAGTAGCTGAATCATTACGTTCTGCACGTTGTCCAATTTCAGACTTCAAGGACATTCCTTTTATGTCAACCTCAAAGTTCAGAAACACCATATAAATAAGAGCAAAGCGGAGCAGGTACATTATCCTGCAAGCACCCTCCTTGTTTGTAACTATCTCGGCTTTATTGGAGAACTTTAAGCTGCTCACTGAACGATGAAGGCTTTTCGAATTGTTCTACTTGTGGCTTGGAGCGTCAGGTTTGATTCAGTCAGCACCAAAAAGCACGCCAATCCCAAAAACCTCGAAGATCTTCATTAACAAAGCACATCAGGAAATGCAACAATTGCGAGATATAATGAAAAAGAACAGCAAAACGATAATGGATGAGCTTACCCTTGATCAAGACGAAGAAAAAGAGCTTAACGTCACTCTACAGGTCAGTGGATTCATCCTATACAAAGAAGCCTATCCGCGTACAAAGCATTCTTGCATATTCAAGAAACTCAAAAGGAAAACCATTGATGATTCGGAATCGACGATGGATTCAATTGAAGAAGTCAACACAGCGCTGGGAATTGCAGACGAGCTTTTTGAGGACGACATAATCCTTTCAAAGTCTAATTTTCCAATTTTTTGACATTATGCTGAGAAAGTTGGATGATGTTCAGAGAAGAACTGGGCCAAAATGCGATTGCGGAAAAATTTTGGGGTAGAGAGCCGCCAAAAACGGCAAGCTTACAGAAATGATACCTATCCCGCACTATGGACTGGTGGGGTCCACTATATGTTCAACGTCAGTTTGAGTCAGTTGCTGTTGCGTTTTTTTTTGTTGCACGTTGAAATTAACAAAATTCAAGTCATTATGTTCAGATAAACGGGCCAGAACTGCCTTCAGAAAGGCGGCATTTTTATGGGAGTCCAATACGTGCATTAATTTCACTGAACTGTATAGCGACGATTACGACGAATCGAAGAAGGAGAGGACGAAGATAGCACGAAGACGAAGACGAAAGCCGAAAAGACGAGACGATACACGAAGACGAAAAGACTGAAGAAGACAGAAGAAAAAAGAAGAAATAAGAAAAAAGAGGAGGATGAAAGGGAAGACGAAGAAAAGAAAGAAAATGGCGGCGATGATGAAAATTATTACGATCAGTATAAGGATTACTCATATCCAGACGAGGAAGAAGGACGAAGAAGGTAAATGGAGAGGAAACTCTGAAATGTTCCGAGATTTTGTTATAATAAATGTAAACGATGGGCAGGTGAAGTATCATTATTTGTACACCCGCGAATTGGTATTGCAGCTTCGCCAGCTTGGTAGACAGCCTGAGGTTTGCAGCCTCCTCTCACTCGGTAAAGGATGTGAAACGGTACCTGTTTAGAGGCATTTCGCGCGGGTCACGGTGACCTTGAAAATATGAGTTTATAACTGAGGTAAATAATAATTATTTCACACAAGATTGGCACCGCAGCTCACGAAATTGGTCATGCCCTTGGATTCCTTCATACGCATACAAGATACGATCGGAACAATTTGTTTTAGTCAACAAAGCATATGTCAACGTAAGCCTTGTCAAATGCTACATACTGATACCGCGTACTTTTAATGTCGTGAGCTTTTAGGAAACATACGCCAGCCAGTTCAAAAAGGAACAAAAAAGAAAAACAATAACACAACTATAACTTGACATATGACTATGGCAGTGTGATGCACTACAAAGCTACATCGTAAGCCACTTGGGTCGAGAAAAAAAAAAAAAACAAACCTTTTTTTTTCTAGCGTCACCACTGAGCAGGGGATGCTTACCATAGTGCCAAAGGATGTGTTGTATACAGAGACACTAGGTTCTCCTATGATTTCTTTCTACGATCTGCTCATGATGAACATACATTACAATTGCACAGGTGGGCAGCGCCTTAATGTGATTTCGTGTAGCTGCGTAAGGGAGAGGGTTCAGCTAGGTGCGGTGAAAGCACACAATGCAATCTTGGATTCGCTCGCCCACGTAATTGCTCAGAATGCATCTGCCCTA